AGTACATATATTGGATCTTACTGCTGATGGCAAATATTGCTTAGAATAATTTAAATTGTATTTGCACATTTTGTGATCTGCAGCTGCAATACTTTTTACAAAATTGCATTAAATATTCATACACATTTGTAAGATGCATATTAAAATACTTTTCAAATAGGAGTATTGTTACAATTATACGTAGTCCCTGTTACTCTCCTTTCTTTGTTTTTGGTGATCATTATATATCTTGAAGGAAAACAGAGAAACTTTGACTAAAAATATTGCCACTAGAAATGTTCTTGTGTGTTCCTCATGTTTGCTTATTACAGAGGCCGCAGTACATCAGAGGGTCTGTTAAGTGGACTCTTTGGTCTCTGTGTCCCTGTGTAGTGTCTCCTTGTTTCCTCCAGTGCACGTACACACACGTACACACACACACACACACACACACACACACACACACACACACACACACACACACACACACACACATTCAGAGGCTTTTCTGGGCTGTGTCTCTTTCATTCATCAAACCAGACTCATCCACTCGTAACAAAACAGACAGGGCTGCATTTTGTGAATGGAAACCAATAACACAGCTTGAATGAGACTGCTTGGCAAATGCTTCTGCCTCTCCCTTTCTGCTGTGAATGTCTAATTTCATTTTGTAAGCCTGAGAGACAGGAAACATCTGAGCAACAATAAAATAAACAACACTGTTTATTTGCATTTGGAAGTTCAATTTCCTCATTCATTAATTCATTATTCTAAAATCTTATGCCTGTGTTTAAACTTAACAGTTGTAGTGCAAACACATTTTCTTCTGTCAGTTCATGGTTACAATCGTGTGTGTTTGCGTGTGTGAGAGAGAGAGAAGGGGGGGGGGGGTGCTGTCTCAGGAAGGCAGTGAGATTGTGTGAGAGTTGGCCAAGTTAAAGTGGGCTCTGGTGACGCGTAAAATGAGCTGGGATTTGGGGGCTTGTGGTTCAGTCTTGGTGTGAAATGAAGTTTTTCCCCTTCATTAATCACATTATCAAACCCCAAGGAAATGACATACACAGAAACAAACACATACATTATTATGTCATGGTCAAGTCTACACTCCACGGTAATAAATAACAAACACTTACACACACAGAAAAACAGTGTTCTCCTCTCCTGCCCTCTACTCCTGCACCTATTCTAGACATATTGTATTATTTATTGAGTTTTGTGTGCACGTGTGTACATGCAGGCTTGCACTTGTCTCTGTTTCTGTGCACTAAAGTGTAGCCTGGATAAGGGGATTTTAGTCTCTGATGGTTGTCCCACAGTCAGAGCACACTGTGTAGGAGAGAGATTAGCAGCATCAGCTCATTCATGTGATGCGGCACAGCAGAGGGGTGAAAGAGGGATTGAGTTACAACAGACCAACAATATGTGTCACCACTGGTTGTCTCAGTCTATAGTTGAAAATACATTTTATAATGGATACATAGCATCAGCAGCCTGATCTAAATATTTTCTAGAGAAATACATTTGTGACTGCAGGCTCTCGTTTGATTCATGGGTAGACTGTTATTTTGGCTTAGTAGTGCACAGGGCAGCTTCAAGGTGTGACTCTGTACTGTATGCAACACCCATTTTAAGCTTGAGTTAGTCACTTAGTGTGGTTTATGACATTGTTAGCTAATAAAAAGTTATCCACCTAAAATGTGGTATTGTCAAAGCATGTTGACGCCTCATGGACTCAAATATAAAGTATTGAGTGGAACTGAATACAATTTCATATGTGGTTAACACAGTGGACAAAGATTATATTAAAAAGCCAAAAACAACATTGTTGGCTTTGCAGGCGATTCTTTCTGGTTACTTTTTTTCAATGTCATGTTTTAGATGTTTGTAAAGATCACACATGAAAGTTCATTTCTAAAGCTGAATGCCAGAGTATATTGAGTATATTGTAGGCTCGCTAATCTCCATGCTGAAATTAGTGTGTGTATGACTAAACCAGGCCAGTATCCAGGTGTACAAGCCAGCAATAGAACATTCCTTGGGAAAAAGAGAATATTTTTGTGCTCACCAGCAAGTGAGGCCAAACATACAATTCCTGTGAGACTATATGACTGCTCAGCAGGAGATGAGCAGCTAAACTAGGGGACATGAACAGGTGCTCCTGTGTTACTGTACATCCCAATATAAGTCACCGTCCCTGAAACAGAAAGTCCCAGGACTTGTGAGGTGCTTCTCAGGTAACAAAGACCAACTTTATTATGAAAAACATTTTGAAAGTGTATCAAACCAATTTCATAAGTCAATATTATATTATAATAAGACTTTAAGATGCCAATGAAGTCTGTTTTAAAAGCTGCCCCGTCTCCTGAGAAATGGTGGTTCTGGATGTATGTCAGTTGGCTATACTGTGATGTTGATGTGATGTGAAGAGGATAGCTTCTGGCTAATTAGGCCAGTTCTTCTCTGGTCTGCCTGGCTGAACATAGCACTGCTGACAGCCTGTGGTCAGCTGGACCCTCTAACCCTCTCACTGACCAGACCAACATGAGCGCAAACACATTATCACTTCCACTCAGGCCTTAGGCACTCTGTGCTTTCCTTGTACCTTGGTGAAGTGTAATGTCAAGTTTGGGACACTTTCATGGACAAGGATTTAGTGGAGCTGTAGACAAAAGAGATTTCAAGAAATTATTTGGGGACTCATAGAGGGAATTGTCAGCTCTAACAGCCCACTACTGCCAGCCAGGGACCAGGATTGGATTTAAACCTGGATGTTCTGTTCCTCTTACACACACACACATTATCGCTCTGATTTTGATACAGTTACGGTTGCTGTGATTTGGCTTCTGAGTCATCAGCCAGTCACTTTGATTAGCCACAGAAGATGTAACTAAAGGTTTTTAGATTATATGTCAACATTGAGGTTGGGGTTTTTGTTACGTAAAACAGCTCTTAAGAAAAACCTGTATCTAAGAGGGTATTAAATCAACATGCTTTTAGGTGGATTTTTCCATTGCTTTGTGGGATTTCTTATCTTCTTTATCTCCTTATCTCTTGTTTCTGATCCAATCCTTCACCATATGTGAAGCAGAAGCATTTTTGGATGGCTACACCAGACCTTTTGAAGACAATTCTGACACTAAACTGTGACATGCAAATGAAATTGGCAGCATCGGCAGCACTTCGGCAGCATTTCATAGGCACGCAGATTTTTCAGTGTTATGGTTGTGAAAGAGTGTTGATACTATGAAATGGAGATAAAGATGAAACAGTGAGTGTTTCCCTTGATGAACCTGATTGTATTCAACCATGGCATCTTACAGTAGCTCTTTGCCGTTCCCGTACCTCTTTGCTCTACCTTTCGTTAAACTTCTCCTCCCTCCCAAACTCCATTATACTGTAAGTTGGACAAAAAATACCTTGAGGAATCCGACCTTCCTTTCTCTAATCGCTATAATTGCTATCAAAAAATCCCTCTCACCTGAGCTCTTATTTTTATTCTATATTAAACCAAATGCAAATGTAGTGATTTTAACCTTATTCCCTCTACTTGTGCCCACATACAGCTCTTCAAATACAGATAGCATTCCACACTGCCCTCTGCCCTCCCATTTCAATATCACCCTCCTTCATCCTACCTATCTTTGCATCTCTTGAATCTTTTTACACCCACAGTGTTTGCCCTACCCTTGTTTTTCTCTGTCCTTCTGTTGCCTTTTTCATGTGTTTGTCTGTCTGGCTTGGTCTGTCCCAATCAATAAATGTATCCATAGTTCTAACAAGATAACACATTAATTGTCCTTTTCAATGTCCTTTTTGCCCAAGAGACTGACTTGTCTCAGGCGTCTTTAACTTAAGTCACTTTACATTTTTCTCAGCTTCTCTGCTCTCACTTCTCACCTTAAACTACAAGTAAAGAAATCACCCTCATCTAAACTTTTGGTATGAAGCAGAACAATATTTCCTTTCCTGCATGGTGATGTCCTGCAGTTTAGATGATTACCTCAATCTGAAAGCTTTTGCCTGAGAGTCTGACGCTGTCCCCATTCCTCATCCTCCCGTGATCCCTCTCCCCTCGCCATGCACCTCATATGTGTTGCTGTACAGGAACAGCTCAGAGCATGCGTCTTAGCAGGTTGGCATAACATTAGAGGGGGCATGCTATTTGATATGGCGGTAATCTCCCGTTAAATCCCCCAAGAGTGAAACACAGCCGCCCGCAGCTTTGCAGAGATTTCAAAAATGGTTTTATTCTTTTTTTTTTTTCTGTACAAGTAAACCACCTCACTGAGAACAGCTCTGCATATATATGTGTGTGTGTGTGGCATGTATGGGTGTGGAATTAGCGAGACTTAATGTCACTGTCCCCAGTAATGCACTGGTTGAGCTAAGCACTCTAGTATTCGTTCATTGCAGAATAATGTGATTTAGTGTAGGGCACATACTGAAGGCAGCGGCGTGTCATCGATGCTTAATGTGTGGTTGGTAAAACCTGAAGGTGGCTGATAATTTTCTTGGCTGGTTTCGTTTATATGTAGATTAGTTTGGGGAAGCAACTCCTCCTCAGCTATATTCCACTTTTGAGCCACGAGTAATGCATTTCTTGGTTTTACTCTGTATACACTACTCCTTTTATGCACTGTTTTAACGTTTCTCCAAGGTTTTTCCCTGTCAAACTCTTTTTGTCGTAAAGTTTTAGCAATCATTATCATACAGTCATGCTGTAAAGAGCCTTATTAGACCCCCAGCTTCACCCTTTTATAAAATAAACCAACCAAAAATATTGCTTATGTTTCATGTTATGTTTAAGAGTAATGAGATTAATTAAATAAATGTAGGATTGAGATGAGATACAAAAAAACACACAAACAGGAGATAATATACTGATCGTTTTTTATGAGCTCACACTGGGATGTCCATGCTATAAGCTCACCTTTGCGTATTGGAATGAAAAACAAATTGTTAAGTGTATTGATGCATTGGTACTTATAACCTGATAACATGAATGTGTGTTTTCCTTTCAGAAATACAAGGAGTTTGAGCGGGCCGTACGGGTGGACGAGATTGATGGGCTGCGGCTGGTGAAGAGGCTGGCAGAAGACATGGAGGAGATGTTTCACAAGAAAGCCGAGGCAATGAAGGTATTTATCTACCTGAATAGTCATCCATCATCAGACTACTGCTTAAGATTCCTTAGAATTCAGCAAAAATATTTCTAATTCAAATCCTTTCCCATAAAAGCACAGAGAAAGGTCAACATGTCCTTGAAAATATTTACTTAATTGTATTCCGAACCATCTCCATTTGACATCTACTTCAGTACACAAACATTAAAATAACCACATAAATACAACTCAAAGTAAGTATAGAGATGTTAGGTTGTATAAGTAAATATATTCCCAGAGACGCTGAGAGTGCAAAAGTAACTCGACTGAACTCGGTGAAATTACTTGGTAAAGCATTTATTTCACTCTGCTGACCCTCGTCTGAAGAAGTGCTGTAGTGTCACATTGCCACAGTGAAATCGGACACCTCTTGCGTTTGCTGTGTGTATGTGAGAGAGAGATATGTGAAAGAACTGGTGCTGTGGAAGAGGTGACAGACAGAGAGAGGCTGTGAGCTACCAATCAGTGTCTGTATCACTGTATTGATCTGCTCTGACCAAACATCAGTATCTAAGAGGCCACTTGAAGACCAAACTCTAAACTAAAGCTAAAAACTTCTGTAAAATAATGTTTTTATTGTTTACTTTTTAATCCACTTTATTTATTTGATAGTTGCAGTCAACAAATAACTTAAAGATTAATATTTTACAAGCAGACATATGATCTGCTTATCAAATATGCATTTATATCAAATGTAAGTATAATTTAATTGTAATTGAACTGCCAACACATAATGCATCCATCAAATATTTAAATCCAATAATTATGTGAAAAAAATTACCATGAAAGAAACCACTCTACATAATGAGTACCTAAACTGTGATTTATACTCTTCATACTTATTTGTACTTTAACTTCAGATTAGGGAAGCCATACTTTCATTACTTTTTGTGTATTAATATAGCGTGTTATCTTAAAAGATCACAATGTTTTATCTACCAAGGTTGTCAGTGTGCTTGAACACACTTTAGTTTGAACATGTTTGCGTGTGTGTGTGTGTGTGTGGGCCAGGTGCAGGTAGGGATGTGTCCACGGTGCTCTGCCTTTCTGGCCTCAGCTTGGGCTCCAGGTGATAGATCTTATCAGGACAACATGGTGATGTTAACAGAAATTGGATTTTTTCTCTGAGAGTCTGGTCTAAGGATACCATCTGATGGAGGAGAGAGAGAGGGGCATAGAAAGTGACAAACCATTTCCTTGCTTTAATTTTATTTATGCTAGTGTTATTATCTCTTGTGTATCGTGCCTCTGACCACTGAGATTACAGGACCATAGTTGTTGCAGTCTCATGGTAACATTCCCCTTAAAAGCGTTCACTTCCTCCCGTCCACATATACAAAAGTCGTCACTGAGCACATATAGTAGAAGCCTAGCATTTCAAGAATATTTATCCTATTCTAATACTATTATATAGAGATTAGATATATTCAATCGCACAACACTTTTTTGTGTGTGCCATCTCGTCATGACTGTGATCAATCCCCGGAGATATGAGGACTCAGTTGGCTAATTGCTTCTATAAAGCTACTTCCCCAAGAAGCCTGATCATTGTACATATCTGAGGGGTAGTGTGTGTGTATGTGAAGTAAAGGTTATGGAGGTTACTGAGAAGATAAGATGGTACACTGGTCACAGAGTTGATGGAATTAGGCTTTAGTAAAGACAAATGAAAGCTGTGGGAGGAACAGGAGGAATCAGAATCAGAAACAGGTTTATTACCAGGTAGGTTTACACGTACGAGGCATTTGACTTGGTGTCATGGTGCATAAAAACAAGAATTAAAAACACAGGTAGAGAACTAAAATGATATTTAAAATAATAAAAAATATATAGTAAAATATAACAATATTTACATTGCAATGGAATGAAATAGAAAAATAAAATATGGAATACAAATCAGCTGTAATACAAAATAATGTTGTACATTGTGTTTACTGTAAGAAGAAAAATGTCAAAGTCAGAAAGAGGCTCCATGCCGAGATCTGTGGAGAATTGAACCCCTGGTCCTCTGCTTTCATGAGTCCACTTCCTCCAACGTTCTCTTCCTCAAGGCTGACAGTTGACCTTGTGATGAATTGTCACTCGAGAACATAGGCGAACAAAGTGTCCATGAGTCATTTTCCATCTTTCTCTTCATCATTCTTCAATATATCTCTGCTTTTATTTCCCAAACTCTCATCCATCTGTCTTAGTGTGCGCGGTCTCGCTGCTCTCCTTAAGCACCCTTTGCTCCTTTGTCTGTCTCCCTTCTCTGCTCCGCCTCTTCTCATCTCTCTCCTTTTGCCAAAGTATATGTTGCGCTTCAGCGATTCAATTTCCGTTCAGGCGCTCTCCCCTGTCCGTCAACGTGGTTTTATCTCCCCGTCGATTCCCCCTTTTTATCGCGTGACACCACCTGCTGAGAGACAGCAGCCTTTGCTGTAAAAAGGTTCACCTGTTTATGTATGTGTGCATAGTAGTTGATGTGTTTAAAAAAAATATCTAAATGTTTAGGTGAGAGACGTTTTGTGCTTTAATTCCTGTGTTTAGCTTCTCATCTGAAGAGAGAAAAAGGATATGGCCGAAAAACATTTTATATGATGAATTGATTAGCCAATGAAACAATGTTTTAAAGTAAATATGTACATTCAACGGGCATTGTGTGTGTGTCCTTGTTAGTAGCTTTAATCGACATGTTTGTGTATTAAAGTGTTTATTCCTAGGCTCAGCAAACATCTCAGCTCGCCACTGTTACTCTTTTGATTACTATAACCTTTATCAGTTCCTGAGATGTTGGTATTTTATCATTTTCTGGCAGACATCAGCTCCTCTCCTCTCCTCTTTCAATCTCTCCTCCAAAAAGCTTGTCTTCAGGCTGGAAATTGTGGAAACGGCAGACGTTTAAAAGAAATAGTGAACATGTTGTTATCGAAGTTGAAAGGCATGAAGCTATTGTAATGTCCTCTTTGAAGTCAAGCACGCCTGTGTTTCATGTGACAAATGCACTTCAAAGCAGAGTGGATGCCTTGCTGCTAGGGCTGTTTCTCCTGTAATGGCATTCGGCCTCTGCATGCTTTGTACCTGCTGATATCATTTACCTGTGGCAGCTACGCCTCTGTAGGCCTCAACATGATTACCAGTGTAGTACAGGGGAAGTCTGCATGGGTGTATGTTAGAAATAAAAGGCACACAAAGGACTTTAAATGGAATTTCTCTGCCGGCAAAACCTTCTATGAAATGTAATTTTCATTTGCTGACATATATAAGGAATTTTAAACTAACTAATCAGCATTTCAGCAATGCTGATTAGTTAAGACTTGGGTCTTATTTAAGCTTTTTCTTCTTTTCTGGTAATGGTAATATTGCAGTTTTCTTTCCGAGTACGTGACAAAGGTTATTGACCAAGTTATTTTTCTTTGTAACATTATGACTATTTTGTTGAACTCCTGTTGTTCTCACATTAATAAAACATGTCAAAACAGAACAACCTTGATGTTACTCCAAATACACGTTTTGATTCCTTTGTCATTTATACAATATATAAGAGCTGAACTTGCTTATCAAGGAATTGTCCACGTTTGTCGGTAGTTCTGATCAGGATTATAACGGTGTGGTTTGGCTCTGCCGTGACATACCACACTGTCACACTGAGCTGACAGGACGGCTCCCCTCATTTCCCTAGCTGTCCTCAGTCTCATATTATTGCCACGTGTGTGTGTGTGTGTGTGTGTGTGTGTGTGTGTGTGAGGGTCTGTTAAGACTGATGGCTACTAATGAAGAGGCTTCGTGACATGTACTGGCTGCCTGTGCCTTATCGCTGGTTGTACTCCTGTCACCAAGAAGTAAGAGAGATGAGATTGTTTTCTACAGTGATGAAATGGGGGATGATGAAATCAAGATGAGGAAAGGTAAATATAAAAAAAGAGATAAAAAGTTCAGTCGAGGCATGAAATAAAAGTGTGGGTTAAGCACTTCATACTCCCTTTATATTCCCTTTGGGTCAGCAGAACTGCTGAGAACCTGTCAAGTATTGATTATTGGGACTTGATATTTCAAAGCACACTACCCCCCCTCTCTCAGTCTTTCCCTTTGTATCCATCTTTCCACTATGTTTTGACTACTTGGCTTGTACCCAATCTCAATGTGCAAAACAGAGGAGGTAAAGTGTCACAGAGCACTTTTCCATTTTGTTGATGCTGCAACTCTTCTCTGGCTGGTTTGACAATATTAATTGCTGTCCCCAGTGTTATTGATGGGCTGACCTGATCCAATCCTGCTCAACACAGCTCAGGCCTCCACGGATCAGGCCCCTGGCAGAACCAAGACCCACAGGACATGCCCTGATTCAGTAGGCCAAGGCTTAGTTAGCATTTCCTCTTGCAACAGAGGAACACCTATACATCTGGCCAAGCAGAAGCATGCCAAATTATTCAAGAGAAAAAGGGTAGCATATTTTATATAAGGTTGTGCATATATTCTAGCCATACTGTAGTTAAAGCTTCAAACATTTAGAGACATCTAGAGGTGAAAGGTGGCATGCAGGCAAAGCAGATTTATTTGGGTCGCTGCGAATTGTGCATGACATATCAACTCTGGTAAATGTTTCCCTAAAGATAGTTGTATAATAAAATAAGGAGTTAAGTACAAATGCATGCTGAACCAACAGCACACAGCATCTCTGGGAATGTTTTTATGCAAGTTTATTTAGAACTGGAGTTGACTGTGGTCTTGTTCTCTGCTACCTCAGGAGAACATTCAGATTCAGGCCACTGCCTTCCCCTCCTCTTGGTGGAGGGAATTTGCAGAGGCAAGGCTTAATGCACTGCTTTAAAAAAGTCTAAGACTTCCTCTACCAGTCAATAATGTATGTGACCGTCCACCCCTCCTCTGCTTCTCTGCCAGCGGTTGTTAGCATACCTCAGCTCTCTATGACAGCTTTCGCCAACTTTCACGGCTCTAGTGTTGCATTCATAATGGATAGGAATTTGTTAAGGTCA